TAACATCTAGAGTTCTGTATTTTGACTCTGGCCAAATCTCTTGGAATTGTTTGTCCTTGGTCACAGCTGCACCTGCTGTCCCAGAGGTATAAACAAGTTTCTCAATTGTCCACTGTCCGTGATTTCAGTTTGTAGGTAAGGCTCTCCTCACTGTCCAGTCCAGCTTGGAAGTTTTAGAAATTATCTTGGTGACTCTTCTGCCAGAACACTGAGGATGGAGTAGTTGGGAAATAGAAGAGAAGCACTCTGACCTATAACACATATACACTACTTTTAATGAGGGGAAAAGATAATTTAATTTGTAATGATCTAGAGATAGTATAACACAAACTCATTATGTGTATTTAAACAGTCAACAAAACAGGTGGTGTTAATTCCATTTGAAAGATAAGCAAATGGAGAATCAGAATGATTATAGACTACTATTCAATGAATGAATGAAATAAGGAATGAATGAATCCCCAGGAAAAAACTGCATGGATTGAGTGGATTAAGAAATTGAGATAAAGAGAGGTCAGTTTTCCATCCATTTAGCAGTCAATTTACAGAGAGTAAGCTGGTCTGACAGTCACGTGGGGTTTATGTTTGGGGGTAGGATGCTGCTGAAGAACCAATGATGACAATTTTAAAAGAAAACAAGAATGAATAACAGATGAAACATCTTCATGGAGTAGAAGAACAATGGTGAGTCAATGGATGGTTAGGTTTCACCAGACACCATTAACTCTGTGGTAAATGTTTCCACTGCAGGCATGTTTCAAAAACCTGTCTTAAGCTTCAGTGCCAAAGTGTTAGAAAATCTAAGAGAGATATACAAATTGCTAAAGAAACATAACTGAAAAATACTAATGTGCAAAGAATTAAAAAAAGCATTTTTTTCAATAGACATTAAATAATTGAAATTAATATCTAAGACCTTTCAATTATTTTAAAAAAGGACTCACCAGAAATTAGATAGTTTTCATTTGAGTGTTACCAGTTATTAAGAATTTTCTAAAATTATACAAATTTTTTTAAAAAAAAGGTGATGTGCAATTTGCAACTTTTAAAAATGGCAACATAATTTTATTTAAAAAGTTAAACAGAAGCAATATGTATAAGAAAAATAATAGATCTATTTTGTTCCTGAATCTAGTTTTAGAGCTTCTAAACAAGACCCTTTGAGTAAACTAGATGTAATTTTCTACAAAAATATTAGTAAGCAGTGACCAATTTGGATGCATAAAAGAGTTGAAAGAATGCTTTCCTAATACAGAAATGTATATTCATGCCAGATAATTAAATGAGAGAAACCAAATCAACATCTCTAAAGATGTGAAAAAGATAAACATTTATTCATAATAAAATTACTATTATAGAAGGAAAAGGAACTCTATTAACCTAAGAAAATGTGTCAATAATTTTTTTAAAAAAGAAAAGAAATTCCAAATAACAAATATCACTCTAAATAGACAGATTCAGGAAATTAATTTTTTGAAATTCAGGAACATGCTATGAATGGTTTCAGAATCATCATACACAATAATATACTGGAATTTCGGCCAGGATAATGAAACTGAGAAAGAATGAATTATAAAAATTGGAGATGACTAATATCATTGCTCTAAGTATATATAACACAATTGTATACATAAACAAATCTACAAACAAAATATAAGTAATTCAAAAGGTAGAAGTAATATGACATCTGTATACAATTGTCAAAGCTATTTCTGTATAGTAACAGTAAAAACTTTAACATTAATATTAGTAAACATAATTTTTAAAGTATTGAAAATATCAACAAAACTATAAAATAACAAAGAATACATCCAAAAATGTATGTAATACTTATAAACATCAAATTCAAAACTTTATTGAAGAACACTAAAGAATACCTAAATAAACTGAACAATCCTATATTCATGGATAAAAAAGTTTAACATACAAATGCTGTTTATCCCAAAATTGATCCATAAGTTGAATCTAACTCCAATTAGAATCATTATTTATTTTTATTTTTTCTTAATTTCAGTTTGGTGGGATATCATGTTAACTTTGAAATACATATCAAAATGCCAAGATTCATAATACTTTATCATACATAACTCTATGGGAGAGCTGGAGCTATTGTAAGACTGTGGTACTGGTGCAGAGGTGCACAAATCCATGAATTAAAACATCAAAGAGAATACAAAGAAAAATGCACTGCACCCATATATAAAAATTAGATTTAAGATGAAGTTTGCATGGTAGAAGTTGAATTATTCAGTAAATTAAAAGATGTATAAAAATAATCCCAAATAATTTGTGCACTGTAGCAAAAAGAGAAGGGAAAGAGGTCGGAAGGAAAGAAGATAGGAAGAATGGATGGATGCAAGGAAAATGAAGGAAGGAAAAAAATGGATAGGAAGAAAAAAAATTTCTATGTCAAATATAAAGCTGAAATTTTAATAGAATAAATGTGAATTCTTCTCTGACCTCTGAGGAAACTTTTCTTTAAAAAGACTGGTTAAAAGTATTAGCCACTTACCAAATAATCGATAAGCATGAATACACTGAAACCAAAATATTACTCATTAACATATACAGTGAAAGTAAACGAAGAAAAAACTTCCATCTTGTAAAAGATATTTGAAAAAAATACAAACCAGAAAATATTAAAATCAATGGCAAGTAAAGAATTTTTGCCAAACAACAAGAACGATATGGGTAGAAAATTGAGGGAAATTTTTCATAGAAAGAAAAAACTACACAAAATTAAGATGCATGTCATTAGAAGCATTAGAGAGGATAGATTCAATAAGGCTCACACATTGTATAGTGCTACAACTTTTTTGAGGGGGAAATTAGTTGTCTTGTAAAACTGCGTATTTAATAACCTCACCCAAAGTAACTACTGCCCAGCAGCACTAAGAAGCAAGAATGTACTTTTTATTAAGAACATAAAAGTAACTAGTCCAAATTCCCATTGACATGGGTTTAAAAAGGCATATTGCCATAACTAGCATACTACACAGCTGTAGAAATATAAAGGAACAGTTTCAAATGCAAAGAATTCAGCAACAACATTGATGAACCCAAGTTAAGTGAAAACAATAGAAAGCAATATGTTGGTTATGAAATTTGCATGACAGCCTATATTCAGTTAGTGCTCACCTTTGTGAATGAGGAAGAGCAGTGCTACAGGGAAAAATACAGAGGAATATGCAAGTTACTGGAAATATTCTACCTCCTGGAGTAGTAATTGCAACACAGGTATTTATTATACTATGTGTAATATAAGCAAACACATTGGCAATAAACTGGAAAAATACTTGCAAAATATCTAACAAAGGTCAAATATCCACAGAATTAAACATGAGGAAATGCATGGAAGCTTCATATTTCAAACACCCATGAGTATTATTGCCAGATGGTAGGGTTTACTTATTTTTTTATACATTTCAAATATATTTTTGCACTATTTAACTTTGACAAAAGTTTAAAACTATGTAAATTTAAAATATCACATGTAATATGTAGAGTTTAAAAAACAATATGAAAAAGACAACTAGTTTAATAGAGTGGTAAGTCTTTGAGGATGCTGTTCACATAGGTCATGCTTCTCCAGGAAACCTGTGAAAATATGCTCAAGTCAAAAGCAAACACGGAAGTGAGATTCGCCCCAAAATAGCAAGATGCTATTTTTTACTCATTATCAAAGAAAATGTTATAAGGTTGTTTATATGTACTGTTTTGGGTTTGCAAGGAAATGGCCACTAACATATGCCACAGTGATAGACTTTTCAAATGATGATGTACCAAACATCTTCCTGAAGACTAGGCTTCAAACACATATACATATTCACACACAAATATACTTTTAATATTGTGAATTATTGTACTTTTTATGCTAGTGAAACACTAGGTATAGTTTCTAAACACATAAAAAGAAACAATTTAATGTTGGAGTATATTCACTTATTATAAATCATCCTGTGATACTTAACTTAGCAATTATGATGTGGAATGAGTCAACACATAATATATGCATGCTATGTACAATACAGAAAGATCTCTTACACACATTTTAAGTTTTAAAAAAGCACAGTAAATGAACACTGTGTCACAATCCCATTCAGGTTAAAAGTGTGTGTAATAAAGTTTTACCTATATCTCTATATTCATATGCAGTGTATAGAAAAATTACTTCAGTGGTTTTATATGATTACCAGTGGTTATATCTGGGGCAAATGAAGAGAAGGCATGGGTTTCTTTCCTGTTTAATTTCTTTTCTTGCAATAAAATAGGCATGTATGACTGTATAACTGGCTGTATTGCCTGTGTTTGTGACTTTTTCCCAGGTAGGTTGCATTAATAAGCACATTGCATGCAGCAGTAGCAAGAGCAGTGGGTATTTATCACAGCTGACCCAGCAATTAAGCTTGAGTGTTCCTGGGTAGTAAACACTAGTCATCAGGTTGAAAGACAAGGTGAAGTCTGGCTACTATTTGCTGATTCTAAGTCAAAAGGAAAAGCTCAAAGAGTTGGCTATACTCCCACTTGCAGCCTGATCAGTTTCTCCCAGTGATAAGGAAAATAGAAAAGTCTTAAAGGCATTGTATTTACTGACATGGTGATTTTTAAATTATTATTCAAATGAGGATTTTTAACTGATAAAAATTGTTAAATGAAATAATAAAGTATATGTCATTCTGGATTATGTGATCTCAGATCACATCTGGGTGAATATTTTAATGAAAATCATGATTTATTATATTTTAAAATGTTATCATTTATAAAAAAATGAAATAACTAGTATGTCATCTAGAACATATGATTACCAAATATTTTAAAGGGAAGAATCTGGAATATATAATTATAAAATATATTTAAATGAAATGTAAAATATCAATGAAATACTTTGTAGTTTCTATAAAATAGAAATATATTTCATTGAATAAAATGGCAGGAATAAAATCCAACAAGTCCTCATTTTTTAAATATCAGTCATGTGCCATAACATGTTTATTTTTCAGGTTAAACTTTTTCCGGGATGTTCCTGACTTCAGAGTGTTAGCCTGTGGTGGAGATGGAACCGTGGGCTGGATTCTGGATTGCATAGGTAATGAGGAAAAATACTTAATGTGGCTTGTGTGAGAATAATGACCTAAAATTCTGTTTTATGTATCTCTCTATGTATCTACCTACCAAATGCCAACATTAGGATCTTTGGATGCAATTATGTAAGTGGACATCTTTCAGGTTGTTCAGTAACTGGGTTAATTCCTTCTTCTATCGTTTAGAATTTTAATTGACATAATTTACAAGTATCTAGAAATACCTTCTAATCATTTCTCATAGCATTTTCTAAATCTTCAGAGTTGTTTTCAAATCAGGCTCTAGGAAATCTTGTTTCTTTGCCCTAGAAAGGAAGCCAAACGGATCTTAGCACTTCTGATAAAGTCTGTGACAAATGGATATGTTTACCTGATTTAAATGTGAAGTCTCAAAACCTTACCCTCTCTATATATTTTTATATCATTATCACCAACTGTCATCATCATTACCATAGCTAATTTTTCTACCTATTTTTAACTATTGGATATTCCTAAATCATTTCATTAACTCCCCATAAATCTGTCAAACCTCATTTTAGACACAGGTAATCTAAGCTTAAAGTGGCCAAATAATTAGAGCAAAGCCTAGTAGTTATAAACTGACAGAGCTGGGTGAGAAGGCACACTTTAACCTTATTTTGTATTTTCTCTGTAGTTAAAGAGTTTGAGTTCATAAACACAAAAACAAGTATATGATTGAGGATAAAAAGGTGATAATACTGTACAAGAAAAACTTGATAAATTCTGAAAATTTAAACTGATTTTTAAGATCTAGGCACTTGTAAGAACTTATTATTAGTTAGATTACTAGTTATAATATAAATTGGCATTTATAAGGAATAAATCCTAACAAATATTTATTTACTCTTATATCTCATTCCAGTTTCTGAATCAACATTTCTTTAATAGAATCAGATCCTTTCACAATAAGAATTGACCTAAGAAGTTTTGTTCTCTGTAGATTAAAACAAAGTTATATTTAGTTGATTCGGATTATATTTTTTTCATACACTGAAAATATTCAATTTAAAAAATACATGTTATAAGTAACACTTTTGGTAAGAGTCTAGCAACATTAATCTACTAATATTTTACAAGATAATCAGTAAATATTCTGCTCTTGTCCTTCCAATAAAAGAGGTATACAGTATTTATATGCTCTATCAAAGAAGAAAACCAGAATTCAAGAATTGCAAAAGTTTCTAAGTTAATGGAAAAGTATCTGTGGACTTGTGTGGATTTCAGAGTGAAAACTGTGGGGAGTTTGGCTTATTTAATCCCCAAAGTCTACATCTGTGGCATGTCCCTGAATTACCCAGTCCCTCTGTTCTTACACTCATCTCCACACTGACCTTAAAGGACTAAAGAAGGTGTGAAAAGTAAAGAGAATAATATACAATTGTGAAATTCACTTGGGGCATAAAATATTTCAAACAAAAGCATATGGAATTTTTGTGACAGAGATCTATGCTGCTCTAAATTCAAAGCACTATATGATATAAAGATTAATCTCATCAAAAAACCTAATCTTAGGTTACTCAGTATTATCTTTGTCTTCATTTGTTCTGACAGAAAATAGCACGTGGGTAGAAACAATTCAAGGACAATATTAGCAATTTATTCTCCCTTACAATTCAGTTGTTTTATTCCTTAAAGTACAATGGATCTAGATTTGATGCTATAAAAAGGACTATATTGGAATCTAATAAGGTACCCTGGTCACATTCCTTTCTGATACTGCAGATATATGCCTATCTTGGAATTTTAACAGAGATCACACACATGTGCACGCGCGTGTGCACACACACGATTACATACACAAAAATACAATATTCAGCTTAGTTATGGTACTTTAAAAGGTTTTCTCATTTATTATTTGAAAAATCCCTGTCACATTGTTAATAATATGTTTCTTTTTTATCAATTGTCACAAATGAATAAAATTTATAAGTAAATCTTTTTCATTTAATGTCAGGTTACCATTTTTGTTGCTATTCTGTGATCAACATTTTGTTTTACTTTTATTTCCACAGAAAAGGCTAATGTAGTCAAGCATCCTCCAGTTGCTATTCTGCCTCTTGGGACTGGCAATGACCTAGCGAGGTGCCTGCGATGGGGAGGAGGTAAAACAGCTGCATGAGAAAAGATGCAGGAACACAGTACACACACATACCCATAAAAACAACCCAGCATTTCTTTATTTTATGATATTTGTCATGTGATTTTAGCAAATATAATGGATGTTATCTATATAATATATGATTTTGAACAATAGTATGGAGTGGAAGAGCAAATACAGGACAAAGCAAGTACAGGTATTTGGCTTTAATCAGGTACTAATGATAGACTCAGTTTGGGAGTGTTTAAAATGTGTTTGGTTTTTGTTTTTCTTGCTTAGAAAAATGAGGTAAATGTAGATGGACTCTAAGATATTGTTCAGATTTTTAATCTATAAGGTATGTGAAAAAATCACAAAGGAAAAAAAATGAAATACTGATGAATGACTTTCCCAGAAATGAATGCCTTAAGTAATACTTAATATTTGATACCAGGTTTTGCTATCCAGTGTATTCTGTAATTGGGATACAGAAGTAAGAGTTGAGAAAAGAAAGGTCCTTAAAATCTAGTGGTGCATAAAATTGTATATAAATGGAGAGACTTTGTACTAACAAGACAATAGGTACCAAATAAAGGAAGGCCTCACTTACATAAATCTGATGACTAGACAATGACACAGCCATATAAAACTGGGAATAGTCTTCATAGACAGAGGAAACATTAAGTTCAAAGGAGGTTAATTTCATGGCATACTCAAAGAACTGCAAATGGAATAGTATGTAGAAACGAGTGAGTAGAGAGAGGGCATTCCAAGATGAGGTCTTAAAATATTTTGAGCTGTTACTAATACATTATCTGAAGATTACAGAGCAACAACACATTTTGCTAAAGAAGCAAGAATTGAATATAAATATTTTTAGCATCTAAACTCAGAGATGTTGGAAAGACTCTACTAAGGGTATATGAATCAGAAGCCCTTGGGGAGCTTGTTAAAAATATAGTGACCTGATCTTACCCTAAATATGTAAATTGAAATCTTTGGAGATGGGACCTGAGCAAGCAATTGTCTTTTTAAACACTTTCTAAGTAACTCTGATTTACAGAAAATTTGAGAACTATTGTTCCATCCTAGCCGACTATCTGGTTGAATAGTATATATGTTAGATGGAGAGAATTACAAACTAAGTAAAAAGCTTAGAATATAACCTATTTGGAATTTTCATAAGAATGTACTGTAGTAAAAGAAAATTATCAGGTATTGAGTTAAATATCATGAAATCTATAGAGATAAAGATGTAAGCATTGCTTCTAAGATATATTTGCCAATTCTCATACAGGTGCATTGATTTAAAAGAAGGGGAATGTGTGTGTTATGTTTTTCTGAAACATGCATTTGATATTTGGAAATTTCTAATTATATTTTTATTTCCAAATAAGTAAGTGGATTAAATCTGAATTTTGATGAAGAAGTCCATTTTTTTTACAATCTAGTGAGTCATATAAAACCACATAAAGATATTGTAGATGGACAAAGAGAAGCACTGAAGTATATGTCAAAGTCCATATTAGTGATGAATTCCTTATGTCTGGTACATGATGGCACTGTTCTAGGTTCTACATATAGAGTAAGGAAATAAATGAATGGTTCCTACCATTTTGAAGATTGTATTTTCATTGCGTATATAGACAATAAATCAATTTACAAAATATGATCAGGGCTACAAAAAATGAATAATAGTTATGGGCTATTTAGTTAATTGGTCAAGGAGGTGTCTCTGAGGAAGAAACATTTAAGCTGGATCTAAAATATAAGGAGGGAGAAAAAGCTTCCTGTTGAGAGGACTCAGATAGGTTGGAGGGGTTGCTCAAGCAGCACTAAGTTGGTGGGTAGTTAGGGGTGTTGTGAACTGTAAGTATAAAATGTCAGTAAAGAACTAGACAATGCAGGGTATTGTGTGTCAAGAATTTTATTTGATTGAATTTGAAACAAAAGGTGTATCTAAAAAGTTTCAGAAGTAGAGCAATACAATGACATTTGTATTTTTTTTTTCTGTGTGTGTATGTGTGTGGTGCTGCGGATTGAGCCCTGGGCCTTGTGCATGGGAGGGAAGCACTCTACCAATTGAGCTATATCCCCAGCCCAACATTTGTATTTTTAAAAATAGATATTTTTTTTAGTGGAAAATAAACTGGTCAAAAAATGTGAAAATATGGAAAACTATAATTGTACAAATGAAAACGCAAATTAGAGTTGCCCCAACTGGAAAATTTAAAGGTTGGACTAGGGTGTTGTGATGCAAGTAGAGAACCTTGAAGTGCATTTTCAGGCTTAGACAGATTGAACTTGCTGGAGAATTGGACAAGGGGTTTGGGAAAAGACAGATAACAAGGAGCCCATAATGAACAATTAGAGAAACAAAAGTCATTGGCTAGAGATTATTAATAAGGAAATATGTGAAGTGGGATTATGTCTTGTTAGGTATGTAGCTTTGGGCATGTTGTTGTGCACCTGTGTACGTTCTACTCCTTCCTCATCAGAATTCAGAGTCAGTAATGGTGCCTGCCTGCTAGGTTCTTGGGCTTAGGTAACTGTTTTAAAGCTGTTAAATTGCTTTGTCCAGTGCTTGTGATGAGTACTTTGTGTAATATTTGTGAAAGTATTCAGTTAATAATCACTGGATTCACTTAATGTCAGTTGAATGTATTGACTTGAAGACTTTTTTTTACAGGACTATATTTCCATATTTTAGAAAGAGTTACACTGTCAGAATGTAAGAGATCCTAAGGCATTTAATTAGCATTCTCTTGGAAAATTTCTTAACCATTATTAATCTAACAAAATTTGAATAATATTGGAAGCAAAATTTTGTTTGCGTAGAGTATGAAGGTAAGGGACAGAGTTTTAAATTGGGCACACTTTTACAAATATTTGTTTCTGCTTTTTTCATTTGAAAAAATTATTTGAATTTTTAAGTAGATTAAGTGATCCAGAAATTATGTCATTAAAGAGCAAATAAATATTGTGTTTTTATTTTGTTCATTTTTTTCCTTTTTGTTTTGGGGAGAGACAGTAATGGGGATTTAAGCCACGGGCACTTTATCACTGAGCTTCATCTCCAGCCCTTTTTATTTTTTATTTTGAGACAGGGACTCACTAAGTTGCTTAAGGCCTCACTAAATTGCTGAGATTGGACTTGAACCTGGGATCCTCCTATTTCAGCATCCTGGTCACTGGAATTACTAGCATATGCCGCCACTCCTGGCTCATTTTGTTTCTTAGTCAAGAGTGATTAACACTCGATACTGCTACAATGATGTTCATAGCAGCACAATTCACAATAGCTAGACTGTAGAACCAACCTAGATGCCCTTCAATAGATGAATGGATAAAAATAATGTGGCATTTATACACAATTGAGTATTACTCTGCACTAAAAAATGACAAAATCATGGAATTTGCAGGGAAATGGATGGCACTAGAGCAGATTATGCTAAGTGAAGCTAGCCAATCCCTAAAAAACAAATGCCAAATGTCATCTTTGATATAAGGAGAGCAACTAAGAACAGAATAGGGAGGAAGAGCATGAGAAGAAGATCACCATTAAACAGGGACAAGAGGGGGGAGGGAAAGAGAGAGAGAAGGGAAATTGCATGGTAAAGGAAGGAGACCCTCATTGTTATACAAAATTACATATAAGAGGAAGTGAGGGGAAAGGGGGAAAAAACAAGAGAGAGAGATGAATTACAGTAGATGGGGTAGAGAGAGAAGATGGGAGGGGAGGGGAGGGGAGGGGGCATAGTAGAGGATAGGAAGGGCAGCAGAATACAACAGACACTAGTATGGCAGTATGTAAAAAAGTGGATGTGTAACCGATGTGAATCTGCAATGTGTATATGGGGTAAAAATGGGAGTTCATAATCTGCTTGAATCAAATATATGAAATATGATATGTCAAGAGCTTTGTAATGTTTTGAACAACTAATAATAAAAAAGAGTGATTAACACTTTTAAAACAAATTAATGACAGAAAATACCATCATGCTTTCCTTTAAACAAGCTTTTGCTTGTATATTTAATGGTTTTTGTTATTTTAAAAAATTTAATCTTCTTAAATTCAGGAACGCTAGTAATGGCTATATGCCATTGCATGGCATACATAAATACAAACTTGCATGTCATAAATATTTGTTAAGTGGGGGACTACAATTTGGAGTTTGCCTTTGTGAATTAGCTTCCAACTCCAGATGTTGTAATTCTCAAAATACGTTTATTTATTGGCTCTTTCCCTTTTTATTTGGCTGGAAGACTGATTGATACCAGTCTTCCTCATATGTAGCCATAAAAATCTGTGAAAACATATTTAGTGGTAAATATTTTGAGCTCCTACAATCTAGCCCTGGTAATTAAATTTCACTAAATTTCCTGTTTAGTTACTATTCCTATCTTGTTCTGTGCTAGGATGAACAATGCTGCTATAAACCTGAGATATGGGTAAAGGCAAGCTCAATTTATTTAAAGCCTTATTATTTACTTACTTTTCTGATGAGTAGTTGTGTATGTATATACACACTATACATCTATATATTAATTCATTTATAATTAAAACCTATGGTGCTCATTCTAGTTTTTATTAGAGCTTTATAGTTATACATGGTTTACCTCCCAACAAAATCATACATGCATATGAATTTGATTTTAGTTTACTATCCCCTCCTTTTCCCAACCCTTTACCCTCCCATCTTCCCTCCCTTTCCTAGTTCTTATTCCTCTACTGTGCTAGATTACTTTTACTTATCTATTTTTTCTATATTTGATTGGTTCTTTTAAAATATATATGAAGATGAAATTCCCTGTGGTATATTTATATATACACATAACATGATTTTTTAGAAATTCATTCCCCATTGCTTCCACTTTCCCATCTCTCCATTCTGCCACTCAGTCCCCTGATACACTATTAATCTCCCTATGTCTTTCCAATATCCTATTCATCCCTCCTCCTTTCTTTTATTTTATTCAAGCTTCCATGTATGAGAGAAAATATTTGACTTTTGAGTTTCTCAG